GGAAGCTGCATAGCTGGTGAATGAGACAGGGGCAGCGTGCGGAGCCCTGATTGCCTTTGCTTCTGGAAGCCGTACAGAGCAGGGAAAGCTCAACCCCATTTCCTGGTTGAAGCACTGGAGAGGGGAAAGCTCCTGACCCCGCTCTCCAGAGAGAACTTGAAGGCCAGATTAAAAGTTCCCAGGAGCTAGATGTGGCCCATGGAATGTAGTTTATCCACCCTGTTTTAAGATATCATTGCTTAACATCAAAATATTACTGTGATGATGAATATGCTAAGCAGTCAACACAGAGCAGTGTGATTAATTAAGGGTGAACCTACTGCTGTTCTGGCTCCTGCCTGGATCATGACAGGTCAGCCAGAAAGGAAGATCAATAGCAGCTGGGAGGATAGCTGGAGACCTGGAGAAACATGCATAAAAACAGCTGTTTCTTGTGGCAGTTCCTGGCCACTGAATGTGCATACAAAATTGCCTTCATACAGTTAGGCCTATTTCAGTTTAGGAACAACAGAGGACTCAAATACGGATTGTAAATAAGCAAGTTATATTGTATCTGACTTCACAATATCAATTTCTCTCCAACAACTGAAAGTGACCTTTGGCAAGGTTCCCAAATTACCTATCGTTTAGCCAAGGGGCAACACTGTGTACGAAAAATCTATTTTAGGTAAAAATGAAGGGTTAACTTATGACACTAAGGAAGTTTAGCTTTTGCTGACAGTAATAAAAACATTACATGTCTACTATAGTTTTCCTTTAAAATATGTAGCATATACAAAATACATGCTGGCATGTAGAAGCAAAAAACATTTATTAGCATTCATTTGGGATGACCTGCATAATTCACTCATGGATTCAACACTCATAAGCAACATGACCTGAAGCAAGTTTTTAAAACCTTTAAACTATATGCCACACCATGCATTGCACTTAGGGATGTTAAATACTGATTGACTAGTCGAGTAATCTCATGAATTCTTATTGGTTAGTCGAATATTCTAGAGTCCCCAGGTCTGGCAGCCAATGTGCTCAGACCCCACTCTGTATCAGAGGCACCAGCATAGGGTGCTAGGTGGGAGCTGGTCCGCAAGGAGAGCCAATTTAAAAAACAGCTCCCCTCATGGACCATCCACTTGTTGCCACTCGTCCACTTGTGCTGCTCCCTCTGATAAAGAGGCAGCAGCACAAGATGGCAGCAGCCCCTGTCTGGGGAGGGTCTGAGCTCTTGGACCCATCACAAGCCAGGACTGAGCTAAGCTGCTGGCCAGCCTGCTAAAAAAATTTACTGGGAGGAGAGGGGCAAATGCATGTAGTCTATAGCGTTAACCAATAAGCTTTTGCTTATCAGTTAATCAGTTAATTGACTACATTATTATATATTTTGTATAAGTGCAATTAGGGATGTATCTGCAAAGTGTGTGCATGCCTGCACATTATAGCTGGCATACGTAGCAATGCCTGACAGACACTTTCCATTGTAAGGTCTTGTTTTCTTTTGTTTATAATTTTGCCATTCTTGAGCCATTTGGTTTGAAATTTTCCAAGCCACATACCAAACCTCTTCCTTAGGCTTAGGTTTCTTAGAAAATTTCAACAAAAACAATTTTTTTTTCTCAGAAGTATGAGAAAATCATCAATTTGCCCATGCCAAAAATATTTTTACAACCATTTTACAGAGAAGCTATAGCACTTCCATGCTCTGGAGAAGGGACGTGCTATTTCACAGATGGCTTGTCCTATTGTCAAGAGTGAGAATTTTTGCTGTCCCTGTGAAAATCTGCCTAAATTTGACCAGTTTGACAGTCAGGTACCTCAAAGACTATTTGCGAAGAGCCTGCAAGGGCTAAGCAAGATTTTTACTGCAATTCCTCCTCCTTTAGCCAACGTCTGTTCTGACACCAGGCACAAGAACAGAGATTTTCTCCAGTACAGGCAGTCCCCGGGTTACATACAAGATAGGGACTGTAGGTTTGTTCTTAAGTTGAATTTGTATGTAAGTCGGAACTGGTAGATATTGTAGGGGAAACTCTAGCCAAACATTTCTCCAGAGCTCAGTTTTATTCTCCCACACCTCACTTCCCTCAGTCCTTTATTCTCAAGCTGAGGTGTCTGCTGAGAAAAACCGCTCCGCATCTCCCTGTTCTTCTGGGGGTGGGGGAGCGCATAGCTTCGCGTCTCCCTGGTCTGCTGGGGGGAAGCAGCTAGTGCGGGGTTGCCTCACCCCGTTTGTAAGTAGGGATCTGATGTAAGTCGGATCCATGTAACCCGGGGACTGCCTGTACTGTCAATGTTCCTCTATTCGCAACCAAGCAGTGAGCAGCAGGAGGAAATAGCTTGACCAGAACACAGAGGACTGAGCAGCTAGGTCTGGGACTTAGAGCTAAGGGAAAGAAGAAAACTAGGACTCAGACAAGGACAGGTCAAAGCACATCAGAAAATGGAAATCTAGTACCGCTATCAGTCTGTGATGTCAAGAAGCAGAAGTCTGTGCTGTGGATTTACAATTCCCAACACCGCTAATGAACCACGTGGAAGTCAACATGGTTTCAATTTATTACATTTCTTTTTTTTTTCCCCTAGGTTTTTCCTTTAAAAATGTCACATAGAAAAAGCCACATTTAAAAGAAATATTCAGGTCAAGTGATTAAAAGCTAGGAAATGACAGAATTGGTGTTGCTTGTAAAACCTTAATTTGCCTCCCTTGTGCATATGCATTATGATACATAAAGATTAAAGATTATGATCAACATTAATTAGATGATAATTATTTTTTCAACAGGACAATCCTTTCTCCTTCCCTGCCACTGAATGAACCAGGCTCAGAGAATGAATTTGAGTTGTACAGAGAAGGAAGCTGCCGTCTATAGCAGTGGTTCTCAAATCGGGGTATGCAGAGATCTTCCAGGTTGTACATCAACTCATCTAGATAATTTGCTAGGCTACATAAAAAGACCTAGCAAACTCAGTACAAATTAAAATTTCATAAAATTACTTTTATACTGCTCTATATACTGAACTGTAAGTACGATATTTACATTCCAATCAACTTATTTCATAATTATATAAGAAAGTTAGACATGAGAAAGTAAAAAAGTAGTTTTTAAATTAGGTGAAATTTGGGTTATTCAAGACGAAAATTGGGGGTCCAGTGGTCTGGAAAGGTTGAGAACCTCTGGTCAGTAGGACCCCCTTCTTCATTTGTTGTAGCACTTGGAAGGTGTGCAATAAGTGAGGAAGGGAACTGCAAGAAGAGAAAACATCATTTAATGGTTAAGGGAGTTAAATGCAGCTCTGGAGAACTGGATGCTATTCCTGGTTTTGTCATAGAAATCCTATGGCATGCTGGGCAAGTCACTTAAACCAACATTCTCAGTGCCCAACTTGCACTTGCCTAATTTGCAGAAGTGCTGAGAACTCATAGCTGCAACTGAAACCGATGAAAGCTCTGCTCTGAACAAATAAAAATGAAATGCCAAGTTCAAGCCACTGGCATCTTCAACTGGGCATCGAAAATTACTGGATACTTTTCACCTTAATCTCCATTTCAGTCTGTCGTCTCTGAAATAGGAATACCACCCCCGGCCTCACAGCAGTTTTGTGAAGATAAAGTAATTAATGTTTGTGAAACATTCTGATGCTACAGGGATGAGCACCACAGAAAGCCCCAGGAGAAAATTAATAATTCTATTTTCAGAGCAGGGTTTGAATGGTGTACAGTAAATAAAGCATGGAACCACACATGGAACAATGATGATAAAACATAACATTGAATAGCTGTTCATTGAGTAAGCACCATCTTTCTTGTGTACTGAATAAGGCAGGAGTCCTGTGAAAAAACATTATGTGATCATATCATTCTAGACTGTAACATTATGCACACGCAAAAGGCAAAATTAATGTTACCTGTGCAATATCTATTTATAAATTACGTAAAGTGCATTAACAATGTGAAGGTTGCAAAAACAATCAGTCATATGTTAGGAAATGCCAGGATTACATTTCCATATAAACAGTTAATATTCTTTTAATGCAGTTTTTTGTATATTTCACATATATAAAATACACACACACACAACATACAAACACAAATCACACACACAAATACATGTTCTAATTTTATGTAACATCTATTTCTACACAAATCCAGTCAATCACTAAGTTAGGTATGTATTTGTGTATAATTTATTTGTAACAACAACAAAAAAAGATGCATAGAATACTGCAAAGTAAAACCTAAACCTAATCATAGTTCTCCGTAAGTGTGTGGCTATTACCAGATTCAATGATCATACAAAACCAGTGCAGAACCAACACCACAAAGTCTATTTCTGAAAAGCTTACTCTTGCTTCATCTGCTTCATCTGAAAAGCTTACTCTTGCTTCATTTAGAAAAATCTATCTTAACACTTGCAATGAATATTCTTCACTTCATGCTATCTGGTAGTAGCCCAGTTCTGATGTTGAAAGCAATTGTGTTAATTTACAATTTATTAATAAGATTACAACTACTACTGAGAACTTCTGGTGACCTCTTACTTCGAGTTGCTAAGAATCTACAAAGCAAAAGGACTGCAAATTTAATGTTGCATCACTTTTAGCTATAACTATGCTCAGTTACATGGCAAAAGTGACAAAAATGGCTTTTATCCCACAAATATAAACACAAACATTCTAAAGTTATTCCATCCTGTTTCACTAGGAAAAAAGCACAATGAGTTTGTGTCTAGCTTTTTATTCTCGATGCTGAAATTTGAATTCCGCTGGGTACACTTTCCTATATATTCGACACTCATGTTTTGATGACCTAATTTGCCTTTGCTTATCTGCAAGTGAAAATTTGTTTTATTAGTCTTAGAAGAAGTATCCTCTGGTGAGGTCTACTAGAAAATGCAAACCCAAGGCCACATTTAGTTTGCTTATTCCAGGGCTCATTTTGGCCCCCAATATGTAACTAGCATTGTATGTGGATCTAAAGTGTCCACAGTAAAGAAGAAACTCACCATTCTAACTACTTCGGGGTAAGTCTGCTCTGTCAAACAGCCTCTGCTTATTGTAATGTAGTCCACCAGTTCATTAAGAGTGGAGCGCTTGTATTCTTTCATTTTAAGGTCTGATAGTGTGTCCATGAAGTCAAAAATTACACAGCACTGCTGAAGTTTCTTTAGGAACAGTTCAGGCTGCTCTGAAGATGGAACGTCTATGAAACAAGAAAGGAAATGTTTGTGAGTCTGGCATCTTTTTATATGAAACAGGAATTCTTTTTGAAGAACAATTTCCAAAGAAAGCAGTGTTCCATACAGTTTTCATAAAAAATGCTCAACCTAACAATTAAACCCTTTATAGAAATTTCATGAGTACTGTATTTAGTAGTTGAGATCTTGGATACCACATGTATCACTATATTTAATTTCTTGCTTTTAAAAATAAGATTTACAAGAAGTCCAAAACTTAGAGGAGAATACAAAGATATCTACATGTAAGACCTAATCCTGCAAATTGCTAAGAAATCAAGTACCACCAATTTCACTGGAATCTGAGGATCCTCACACCTCATTAGATCAGTGCCACAGTAAGCTTATGCTATAAAGAAGGGGAAAAAACTTCTAAAACTTGATATTTCTGTATGTTTAATCTGAATTAATAAAAAATTACTGTACCACACATCAACATAATAGGATTAAATTTATTAAGACTATGGCTTTCCAAACAAATTTTCCATAGTCCTACAGGTTGAACCACTCTAGTCTGGCACGCACTGTTTCTGACAACATCCATGGTCCAGAATGATTTTAGTTAGGTGGATGTCTACTTATCATGGGTGTAGCTAGGTTTCCCACAGTCCCATAAAGTTTGTTTACAGCTGCGAGTCCTGACTCTCAGTGTTCTACTCTGTTATTTAGCTCTAACTTACCCCTAAATATCTCTAAAGAGCCCAGTAAGCAGCACAAGTGTTAGTAATGCTGTTTGATAATACTGACCTCCTGTGGGTCGGCAAATTCTCTGGTTTGGCACTGGTCAGGACTCGAGGATGCCAGAGTAGAGAGGTTCAACCTGTATTCATTTCTATTCCCATTTCAACACTTTTTGCAATAAAATCATTTCTAATGTTGCAGTAGCCAATTAAGCTTTTTCGTTATTGAATCCTGCCAAAGCAGCAGAATATGCTATCCATAATACAGACACCCTTCTCCCAAAGGAGAAAAACACTTTTACTTCATCAGCCAAGAACATGTACATTTGCTGCTTTTCTCTGTTTTGCCAGTCTTACTGGATCAGTCGCTTAGCAAACCTAAATGAAACAATGGACTCAATGGTACTACCATAAGTCTGCTCCAAGACTTGACAGTTTCTGTTTCATTCATCATGGCAGGTTATTTACCATGTTAAATTTATTTCCAAATAATATGTAGAAAATTTAGTTGATCTGATTTTCATGTACACAAGGTGCTAATGATCATAAAAACATAAATTAACAAAGGAACTTTTATATTCAACAGAAAAGATATCAAATAAGGAACACTATCGCCTCACCTCCCACCCCAATTTTTTTTCCCCCTTTTTAAAGCAACTGCAGCTCATCTTGGGAGGTTTACACAGCACAATGGACTTTGTAATCATCAAAGAAATGCTACCAAATAAAACACGCACATTTATTCTATTCAGCTTTCACCTAGAAACCACATAACACTGCATAAATTTGCAATGGATACTGTTTTAATAATCTGCGAAAGATCAACTATATTACACTTTTTTCTTTGAATACAAGTCATACAGTCTTTTTCTTAGTCCACAATTCTTAAACATGGGATACGCAAATATAAAAGACGACCAGCATTTAACCCACTGGTGGGGTTTTTTTGTTGTTTTTCTTTTCAAATCTTCAGGAAATAGCATTGGTAAGGTTAAAAATACTTGGAAAACATGTGAAATTGGTAAGTGTAGTTTATTTTGGAGTAAAGCATATTAATTCAAGATTTAAATTAAAATTATATATACACTTATGCTTAATTTAAAATATTAAAATGTTGTGAATTATACAAAAGTAAATCCTTGCAGAACAAAAATTAATCTTGACTCTTCCTCAAATTTAAAAATGCTCAAATTCATATTAATAGACTAAAGGACTGCACAACTTTATTTTTAAAAAGTGTTGAATAAGAGTTGTTTCCTAATACACTACACACTGTTTATTTTGCACTGATATAGTCTTTAAAAAACCATACAAACAGTGAAGATGCTGGATTGCTGCAGAAACAATTAATATGTAATCATAGCCACGTGGCTGACATTTTGCACTAAAATATATAACATATCAATATCCTCTGCAATTTGTTCCTGTGTGTGTAGCACTTCTGCAGCATTTATAGATTCCATCAGATCCTCAACCTAATTGACAGACTGAATAGCTCATTATGGCCAAGCTGAGTTGCAGATAGTTGATTTTATTCCAGATCTCAGATTTTTCCAGGCATCGAGTGAGCTCTACAACAGTCATGTCTGAGTCAAAGGAGAAGATACCAGATAGGCGTCAGCAGTGTACTAATGATACTGCAATTTATATCATGTTCTAATTCTGCACAACACATTCCCAGAGGCTCTGCATAGATGTTGAACAGAAGAGGTGACAGATTGGAATTTTGCAAATCTCCACAAATCAGAACCTTTGAGATGGAGCAGCCAATCACCAGCACCTTCTGAAAACTATCAGAAAGAAATGAGCAGAACACCATTTTAAATCTATTCCATCCATCTTGATCAAATTACACAGGTTTGTCAGCAAATGCTGACATCTGGTAACAAATCAAGGGATATATCAACAAAGTCATCTGGTCTCTGCCCATTACACGAGATAAACAATTTCCATTAACATCCCTTCCGATCTGAAATGTCACAAAAAAAGGCCAGATCCTCCAGTGAGACAAATGTCTGTCATGTTTTCATGTTGCCATTTTTCCCCCAAAAAGGAAACTTTAAAATTAAAACTGTGAAGTGGCCGATCGTAATCTAGAATTTGCTTTTGTAGCAGAGGCTAACTATCACATATTTGAGGGATTCTGGAACCTAGTCTTCTAGATATGCACTAACCATTTCTTCCAAAATATTCAAATGGGATAGTTGATGTCTACTGTTTTCAGGCATATTTCAGTTATATTGCTACAATATATCATCATCATCATCATCATCAACCACCATGGGCTCAATGCCTGTTGGTGTCGGATGCCTCCCTCACTATTTCCTTCCATCTTTCTCTGTCCAGTGCGGAGTGGCTTAGTTTCTGTAGACTAGCTCTGCACCAATCTACTATGTCATCTACCCATTCTCTGTGGGGTCTGCCTCTCCTATTTGGACCATTCATTATGCTGAATACCAAGGTCTTAACTTTTCGCTCGTCGTTCATTCTGCAGATTTGCCCGAATAGCTGTAACTTCCATTGTATAACCTTCTGCAGTAGGTTCTCTTTCAGCTGTATCTTCCTATATAATTCCTCATTGGTGACCTTCTGCATCCTTCCTATTCTCAGGATCTTTCTATAACTCCTCCTCTCGAAAGCCAGTATCCTTCTTTGAATCTTTCGTTATCACCCATGTCTCACATCCATACAAATGCTTAGTTCTAATCTGTAACCTCTCTCAAAAATGTTTGTAATGCACTACATTTCTTTGCAACACATAATTTTGCATCAATAAAATCTATGATGATGAAATGGATAGGATTGCATTTCCATGGAAACACCTATGGGAAAAAAATAGTGGATGCTTAGTTCCCACCAGCACCCCTGCTTACCAGGAGCCTCGCTGATCAACTCTTCCACCTCTCTCCTAGCTCTTCTTGCACACTATGGAACAGGAGTTCTGTGGTGTGCAGGAGGCACTGGTGTGGAGAGGAAGGAGCTGGGATGGAGTGGGGTCGAGGCTGGGAACTGGAGCAAGGGCATGGTTGGGACGGAGTAAGGGCAGGAAGAGGCGAGCAGGGTTGGGAGTTTGAAGGGAGAAAGATGGGGGGAGGAAATCAAGCACCTCCCACGCTGTCCATTAGAGAGGAAGTCAGTGTTTATGGTATTAGACTGTCTGTGTTAAAGGAAAATTAATTCAAATTAATTCTAATGGCATATAGCACAGCTCATGCTGGGAACAGGTTATACAGCTTATTTAAATTTACTACAAAATTACAACACTGGTACAACTAAGGATATTAGACATTGTGTAATTGAATAGTCGTGTAACTGCATGAAATCTTAGCAGTCAGTGCGCTCTGGCCCCACTCCCAGAGAGCCCCTGGCTACCCTGCACTGAAGTCTCTGTGTCAGAGCAGTGCAGAATGGCAGGCGGGAGCTAGTCCACCAGGGGAGCCAGTTTAAAAACCGGCTCCTTGAGAAGACTGATATAGAGGCAGCAGTGTGGTGTTGCAATAGCCCCTGTCAAGGTAGGGAGGAGGAAAAGGGGGGAGTCCCAGCTCCTTGTGGACAGAGGCCAGTCCCAGGCTGCAGCCT